ATAACTATAATAAGGGCCCCCAAAATAGTATTGGTAATTATTTGGGCCCCTCTATTAGTTAGTAGATGTGTGGGCTACAGGTAGGACGTGGTTTTGGGTTTGGGGTAATAGCGCCTCAACACTTGGAATCGGGTTTTCGGGTATATCATAGGATGCTGAGTGTACATTGGGAGTTAGGATTAGGGGGACCCTTGGGGATATAGACCCTCGCCATAAGGTCCCTTTTCACAGAGCCATATGGTCAAGAAGGGTCCCCTCTAAGGGGTCTCCCTAATACTACTTAGGAGGTAGGGTTTAGGGTTTAGGGTTTGGGGTTTAGGGTCCGTGAGGAATTGTGTTACTGCTCAGAGCCCTAAACCCTAAACCCTAAAGAGGCGTCTTGCAGGATCCCGTCTCTTAGACAGCCTCGACGTTGTACCGTCCGTTGATCTGCATCTCCTGCACGTACCTCCAGCGGTTTAGGGTTTCGGCTTCTGGAGAGCACCAATAACCCAACTGGAAGCATACGGAAGCATTCAGAATCCACAGCGCTACCGCATCCTAAAGCAGTAGAACAGGCAATAGCCACATCCAGTTGATGCAAAGAAAGTACCACCTTTTAGGGGTCAAAGTGGGGCCATGCCTCTGAAACGAAACCTCCGAACTCACCTCCCGGCCCAAACCTCCAGGAAGTATTTGGGTTTAGGGTTTAGGGTATTTAGGGGTTTTGGGCAGCCTTCCGAGTCCAATAAGACCAAATTACGGGATATACACTTAAACCACATTAGAGGTCCTAGTATACATGATGTAAGGTAAACAAGGTAAACTCAACCTGACCAACGGATTTTGGAAGGTCTGGGTAGTAACTGCACTTTCGCAGATTGAAGCTGGCGGGTATATGCTAGGTGCTTGGATCTTGGGAATAATCCCGCCCCCCCCCCCCCTGCCCTCAAACCCAATCCCAAATCAAGCAGTAATAATTAATAACCCTAAATACCCTAAACTGTAAACCCCTGCCGAATTCAACCCTAAACCCCAGAAATCCCTATAGACTGATGGAGCCCTTCTAGAACCCTAATTAGGGTTTAGGGTTTAGGGTGACACAAAACCATACCAAAAAACACTTTTTCGAAGAACCCTTAACACCCGACACCAAGGGAGCTCCACACGCTATACAACCCCCTTTGAACTTTATGAGGGTTTAGGGGTCTAGGTTTAGGGCTTTAGGGGTTGAGGGTCTGTAGGGGTTTAGGGCTTAGGCAGAATCCTGACAGGAACCTTGAACCCTAAACCCTAAACCCTAAACCCTAAACCTTGAAAAGGACCCCTTTAAGGAACCTTTGCCCCTCTAACTCCTAAACCCTAAACCAGTACAGGACCCCCCCATGGAGTGCTCCACTGTAGGGGCCTTGGTAACTAGAATAGGGTTCGGGGGTATTTTGTACTATAATTACAATAAGGAGCCCCCAAGACTCTATTCTAGTTATGAAGGTCCCTACGTTGCATAGCCCAAGGCACTTCTCGGCATACTCAGCACCTGAGACGGCTCTGAATCGAGCACGGCTTTGGGTCTAGGGCTTAAGTTGAGGGGGCTTAGGGTTTAGGTGTATTTAGGGTTTAGGATTCAAGGTTGATGGCGTACCCATGGGCCCATAGTAGTTCCTTTTTGGGATTACCTTATAGGATTCTAAATAGGAACCCCAAAAAGGAACTACTATGGGGCCCATGGGTAGGGTTGAAAATTAGTGTTTAAGGTTCGGGCAGGGATCTAGGGTTCATGGCGCAGGGCCTCGGGGTCAAGCTAAGGCTTTCCCTTACCCACAAAGGACTCATATCTTAAGGCTTTTGGGCCCAAAGACCCTATTATCTCAGGCTTTTGGGCGATTTCGATGTTAATGGCTTTAAGTTTGGGGCTCATAGCGTAAATTAGGGTTAGCGTACCCTCAGGGTCGATATATACAACTATTATGGAATAAGGTCCTCAAAACCATAATTTATGAGGATGGTCTTTTGGAGTCCTAATTCCATAATGGTAGTATATGTGGACCCTCTGCGGTAGGTTTAGGTTCATAAACTTGTAAGGATTAGGATGGTACTTAGGATGTTTAGGACACGATTGAGGATTACGTAATTCTACCTGCAAAAAAGGCTCATGCATCCGAGAGGTTCCGAATGTTGACGTAGGGGTTGGGACGTTGCTCTGCTTTTGCTTCTGTCCGGGAGGGGGCGGGGCTTAGGGTTTAGGGGGTTTAGGGTTTAGGGTTCAGGGTTTAGGGTAAGGCATCGAGAAACCAAGTACCAAGCATGTTGTACTCATCACACTCGCCAACATGCTGACCTGCAGTCGCCACTGTTTGCTACACCGAAGACCTTGTTTGGTACAGAAACAGCACAAGGGACATGGCTCCCACAATGCCACTAAGGCCGTAAACCCTAAACCCCTAAAACACCGCAAAATCCACCCAAAGACTCTCAAGCACTGCGGATGTTTGTTCTGCGATGCTTTCGGCAGGAAAGCACGGAAGCTGACCCTGAGTCGAGGGGTCGCCTCCGTTGTTGGTTTCGTTACTGCGGTGGTTTCTCCTATCACTGTCAAGACTACGATTACTACTACTCTTACTACTAGAAATACTGGTACGAGTATTCCATTAGTACTTAGTACTATATATAGATAGTAAAACGAATTGCTAATCATGTTGGCACGATTCTCATGGGGGGCTTCGGCTAAAGGGTTCCGGGTCGAACAGCATAGTGAGACACAACTTAAACGGACAGCCTGCTTCAACCAAGTGGAGTCTCACCATGCATCGCTTGAATATGATCTTGTGGCAGGAAAAACACACCCATGCCTGCGCCGAGGTCGAGATAAGTGACACACGGTTGAAGTATGCATGCACGAGCGGAGACACTTGCGAACATGGGCACACGCAGGGCTACATGTCTCTGGTCTCTTTTTGCTGTGAACAAGTAACTATGTATCCAAAATACGTATCCTAAGCCCCACAGCCCTAATACCAATACCCAGTTCGGAAGTTGGGCGGTCCTACGGTTGATGATATAAATCCGGCAATAATACCCATAACAAGGAATATACGATAATTTCCATAGTTTAGGGTCCTTAATTAAGGTAATGCAGGATTTACATCATCAGCCGCAATTCCTGAGATCCCTGTGCGGAAGAAAGTTATGATTACACCTAATTTCAACCCCACGGGCACAAGACAACTGATGACCAGACCTGGCATTCCCCCCTTTTGTTGGGGCTTTTAAGGAATGCGGACATGGAGTTGAATGCTTTAAGTTGCCAGACATGCTCGAAACCCTAAGCACTGAACCCTAAGACACGAAACCCTGAACCCCAAAGATCAATGATTAGCTGCTTAGCATCTCAACTCAGAAACTACAATCATTACCTCTCTTCTTCAACAACCAGCCCCAAAAAAGTTCAAACTTTTTAGGATAGACCGAATGTATAAAGCCAAAACGTTTAAAGTTCTCCCATTGGCTATCTAAGTTACAGAAAACCCTAAACCCTAAACCCTAACCGACAGTGACTTGCGGTTAACATCGGAGACGCCTCTGCAGGTCGGTGGTTTTTTAAAACTGGGGATGCTTCTCAACGCAGCCGGCTCGATGATTGATGGGGTTAGGGTTTAGGGTTTAGGACCCTAAACCCTAAACCATAAGCTTGCAGGCTTAAGGGTTTGAGATTTATGGGAATGATGTGCGACTTCGGATTTAGACTCCGGGGCTTGAGATGGACTTACGTACGGCTTAAAGGCTTCATTTGGATTTATTGTTCCAACTCTTGCTGTTTCATGCATATGGAGTGTGCTTTTTGACGCAAACCTTAAACATGGCACCCTAAACCCCAAACCCTAAGACCTACGCCCTAAACCGCTTGAGATCTAAGCTTGATACACTGGGGCTGCTTGGAGTGTCATGGTTCGACTTGATTGAGGGGTTTCAGACCATGGGGGCGCCTGGTCAGGGCCCTTTCGTCAGAAGGGTTTACTTTAGGGTTTCGGGTGTAGGGTTTATTTTAGGGCCTTTCATCTTCAAAAACTCTCCGAATGTAGGGGCCTTAAGAATTAGAATAGGGTTTTGGGGCCCATTATATGCTATAGTTATAATAAGGAACCCCCTCAAAATAGTAATTATGTAGGCCCCTACATCCCAAAACCCTAAACCCTAAACCGTTGAGCCAGGGTCTCAATCCTAAGCCCGAAGCCCTGAGCATGATACGGGAATATCCCGGCGTGATGCAGCTTAACGAAACAAGGATCCCGCAAGCTCTACATTAAACTACCATGGACCATTACCTACTAGGTTCTTCAGTTCTTCATAGGGCCCCTAATATGAAATGTCTAAGAACCCTACCCAAAAAGTAGGTTTTGGTACCTAAACCCTAAACCCTAAACCCTAAACCCCTAAACCCAATACCCCCAACCCTACCAAGGTACAGCCTGAGTCCTGGTCCGTGCTACGGTGATGCTAGGACCACCAAAAAGCACATAAGCAAAAGTTAGGATAGGGATATCCCATATAAACCCCCTTATAATGAAGCCCAATAAGGTAGGAACCCTAAACCCTAAACCCTAAGCCCTAAACCCTAAACCCTAAACCCTTAAACCCTAAACCCTAAACCGTTGTCCTTTTTGGGTCCCTCAGATGCTGGCTGTTGGAAAGAGCATCCGGGCTCGCTCGGCGGCAGCGGTACGAACACATGCAGTGCCCTAGGAGCCCGGGGATTGAAATAGTTTGGGTTAGGGTTTAGGGTTTAGGGTTTAGGGTTTAGGGTTTAGGGCAAAGTAGGGTGTAAGGTGTAAGTTGACATAGGGGTAAATTGGGGGCACAGTACGGTGTAAGGTTTAAGTTTATATAGGGGTTAATTGGCGCACACTAGGGTGTATATAAGGTTTAGGTTGAGATTATAGGTTAATGGTGCGGATAGAACAGGGTTTTGGGGCACCTTATATTCCCAAAACTAGTATTGGAAAGTCTTGGGCCCCTATATTAAATCGCAGATTACTTCAACTTCCAATCGTCAGGCCCTATTTCAACGTTGAGGTCCCATAGCCGCTATCCCAAAGGGTCCAAGTATTAATATGGTAGCTACTTTGTAGGTAGTTGGGCCCCAAAAGTATATGCTATACTATAACTTGGACCCTTTGGGTATAGCCTAGTCTCATGTCAGGGCCTCCATAATTAGAGTGGGACTTTGGTGTATATTAAATATACTACTACCATTAGAATAGGGACCTCCCAACTTAGTATCAGTAATTATTGAGGGCCCATGTTACTGTCTTCAAGCCCGATAGAAACGTTGAGGACCCACAGCCTACGTACCCTAAGGCCCTAAACCCCTAAACCTTTTAGGGACTTATGTAAGGAACTCATAATAAGGAGCCCTAAGAAAGTAGGTTCCCCAGAGGCTCCATGTACCCATATAGTAGATGCTTAAGCCTTAAAGGGGTCCCTATATAGGTACTTTATATTAAGGCCTAAGTATCTACTATATGGGTACATGGAGCCTTAGGGTTCGTTGGGGTCCAGGCATAGCCTAGAACTCATAATAAGGAGCCCTATAACCCTTAGCATCAAAGTAGCCCAAAAGCCTTATATAATAGGGTCTTTGGGCCCAAAGGCCTTGTAATATGAGTCCTTTGAGGGTAAGGGTAAGAAAGTAGGTTCGTTGGGGTCCAGGCATAGCCTCGTAAGCGCGAACTGGGCTCTTAGGGTTTCCGCATGCAGCTCGAGCGAGAGGTGGAAAGGTAAGCAGGCCGACCGGAGTCGAAAGTCCCACCTGAACCTTTTTTGGGGTTTAGGGTTTAGGGTTTAGGGTTTTTGGGGTTTAGGGTTTAGGGTTGAACCTTTTTGGGGTTGAGGCGTTAGTGGGTTTCGGGTTTAGGGTTTAGGGTTTTTTGGCGTTCCTTAATCGAAGTTCCTTATACAATTCCTGAAAAAGTTCTTGGGGGGGGGTTTCCAAAAAGACCCAATAATTAGGCACTATTGCAGGGTTTCGGCAATAATTAGGCACTATTGTAGGGTTTCGGATACTAGAGATGCAGGTTAGTGCGTGGAAAAGTATATGATTATCAGATGGTTGGACCCTCAGGGCTGCGGTCAATAAAATACCAAAGCCCTACTCATGTAGACTAGAGCAACCCTAAACCCTAAACCCTAAACCCTAAACCCTAAACCCTAAACCCTAAACCGATCAGTATAGCTGTAAACAGAGAGCAGGCAAAAGGTCCTCGGCCATGCAATCGAACAAAACGCTGAACCCTCACATACAAAAAAGCGTGTTCAAACCCCATAAGTCGTGCACCCTTCGCTGCACCGTTTAGGGTTTAGGGTTTAGGGTTTAGGGCCGTACCTGTAGCAGATCCTGAAACCCTGGTCTAGAATAAGGTTCTATAGAACCCCAAACCCCGAACACCAAATCCGCAATGCTAATATCCAAAAGGGTCCTATGTAGGGTTTCTGTATTTGGGGTTTCCATTATGACACAGTATGATTTAGGAAAGTATGCCC